ATTTGGTTCTGATTGGTCAGTTTCTATGCCAGTAAGCTTCAAAAGCTCCACCTCCTAGGCAGCCATTGGCTCCTTACATTCACCTAGATTTGGTTCTGACTGGTCAGTTTCTATGCCAGTCAGCATCAAAAGCTCTGCTTCCTAGGCAGCCATTGGCTTCTTACATTTACCCAGATTTGATTCTGATTAGTCAGTTTCTATGCCAGTCAGCATCTCTGGGCCTATCAACGGGGCCTGATCAGAAAGGCGGGGCTGATTAGCAGCCCTGGTGGAGGCCTGGAGAGAAATGGAGGCACGGCTGCTGGCCAGACTGGGGGAGGGAGACAAAGGGGGAGGGGAGGGAAGGGGAGGGGAGGGGAGAGAGAGGCAAGTGCTGATCAAAAGCTGCCACAGAGGCAATGGATCAGTCCCTGCTTCTCTCTTCAGGTGTCTCTCTGGCCCTGATTCGCAGCATTCTCAACAGTGAGTGCTGGGGCACCGCACCTGCAGCGGAAACAGTCAGTGCTGGGTTGTCATGGCAACCCAGGGCTGACTGCAGGACTGACTTCCAGTTGGTCAAGCCTCGGTCATTATCAGTCCTTAAGACCCAGGGTTTTTATACATTAGGATAGTAAGAATTTAATTTTATGCAAAATGCTAACATTTCTTTTAAAAGGTTCTAACAACCCTTTAAGGTGGTAGAAGGCCTCATTTATAGAGTGAAGAAAGAAGGATCAGCAAGACTAAGCAACTTGCTCAAAGAAACAGTACTAAGTAGTAGACATAGAAACTGAATCTAGGTCTGCCTCCAGAGCTTACTCTTAACTACTATATTTTTGTTATTTGATAAAATAACCTAAGACAAAAATGCCACAAAGGTAAGAGTGCTAAGCATCTGTGTATCCCCTGTTATCAGTGTCTTCCACAAAGCACAGGGGTGGGGAATGTCCACCCCCGTGCCATAAGGCCCAGGAAAACATTTGGTCTGGCCCTGCCAAGGGAACTGCAGGCGGGACTTAAAATTTAATAAATCTAGGAGCTTTTTTCATAGCAACATAAATTTATATTAAGTGAATTATATTAAGCAAATGATGTTATAAATATCCAAATGGCCCTTGGCAGAAAAATGGTTGCCCACCCCTGACATAGCAGATACCCAAAAGTTTAGTAAAGTAAATCACTTTACATCACAGTATTTAAGCTCAGTTATTAAGCTCAGTTCCCTAAATGACACAGAATTAGTATGTGGCATAGTCCCTACTAACCTAAAGCTTATACATTGTGGCAAGGAGTTAAGTTTCATTTTTCCATTAATAGTTAACAATGTAATTCAAACCTTTATTGAGCCCCTATTATGAGCCATAGCAGAGTTATCAGCACTGGGAAGACAATAGTGAACAAAATAGGGAAAGATCCCTATCACCAATGAATTTACAATCTAATGACAAAAGATTATGAAATTAATTGCATAATAATATATTCCCAGCTACAACCAACCACATGATCTCACTTTTATGCTGAATCTAATGAACAAAATAAACTGACAAACAATGAAGCAACTGACTGTGGAATCTCAGAGGGAAGGGGTGGAGAATTAACCAAAACATGTATATGCATACATGCATAACCCATGGACACAGACAATAGTGTGGTGAAGGCCTGGGGAGGGGGCAAGAGTCATGTGGAAGAGGTCAATGAGGGGGGACACATCTGTAATACTTTCAACATAAAGATAAATAAAAATAAAAACTAGCTCGCTCTCCACACAAAAAAGATAGATGACTTTACTAATAAATTCTGCATAACTTTTAAGGAAGAAATAATTCCCAATCCTACACATACAACAGAGAAAACAGCAATTCCCAACTCATTTTATGAG